TACACAAATGTAATTATTAAAAATGCTGTGCTTGTAATTTAATTGAAATTGTTTAGTGACTTTCATACGCACATCCATCTACAAGCCTAAAAACAAGATAATTCTGATGAATATTAACAGATCAATTATAAATGGTTAGCGTTAATAAAATAGGTTAAGTAAATGATTACTGTAGACATGGTGGTAAATATGATTTCGTTAATGGTGAAATGGGTAACGAAAAAAAAATACAAGAAAATAGAATTATTATGGTGAAGTAAATTAAAAACTGGGAAATTTTTTACATGTACAATATGTACAATAAAAAAAAGTGCCATAACAAAAAAGTTAAAAACACACACACACTTAAAAAAAATTTTTTGTCATTGCCTTCTTTTTAAAAAAGGAAAATCATGAAAGAAGTTTTATGTGCAGAAATATACATAACTTCTGCGGTCATTAAAATAAATGTCACACACGCTATGGATGATAAATGGGGGAAAATAAATGTGTTAGAAGACATTAATTATTAAAATAGAAGCGGGCGGGAACCCGTCAATACTTCCAAGAGAAAAGCCCAGCTTTCTTTGGTAAGTTGTCAACCATTGTCCATCAAATAAAAAAATAATAATAATATATATATATATCCAACCAAAAAAACCAATGAATCGGAGCCCAAACGACCAAATCAATAACCGCCACATACTATTATAATACATAAATTAATTATAACTCTCATAAGAGGGATTATAAATTTCCAATGGTAAGATCGAATTGGATTGGTAATAATTTGGCATCGTTGCGGACGTAGAGATCGGGGATGACGATGTAGTTGACGATGGTGAGACGGCAACTATGACATCTCCATGTTGATGAGGACTGTTTTCACCACTATTATGACTATCATTTGAATTTGCGGTGGCAGCAACAACATTCGAAATAATATCACCTGTGTTTACAGCACCAGGGTTACTAACATACTCGGTAGGACTCAAAGAACCTATCGAAGATGCAGGCGAATGTTGTTGCGAATGTTGAGAGTGCGGAGGAGATTGTTGTTGATGGGGTGAAGAATTATTATTAAACACTAATGGAGAATGTGATGTTGTCGTCGCAGGAAATAAAAAAGAAGACATATTCGAGCTTGGAACAGTATTGACGGGATCCTGTATCAAGACAGGCGTTGTATTCCAGGGTTCGTTATAACCTGTAAGACCGGGGTGAGCGTTATGGGAGGAATGTTGAAAATCTCCAATAATAGAAGATCCTGACATATTATATGCAGGATGTGAATCTGGTGATATGGTTAAGGATTGAGACACTGAGGGTGTCGGTTGTATTGACGAACCAGTGATTGAAGAGTCATTACCACTCATTAAATTATTTCCAGGATGGTTTTGGTGAGTTGTATAGACACCATAATTAGAAGGAATCGATGAAGGCACTGTTGGTGCATTCTGAACAGACGGTGATGTCAAGCTAGACTGTTCACTCTTGACAGATGTCTGTTTATCATCATAACGTATACGTTTTGACGACGGTATATCATGTTGTGATGATGATAATGGTCTAGTATACCCACGACTAACTTCCTGAAGCAATTGAATACCTGCCAACATTGAATTAAATTGAATGAAATTGAATTAAATTTAATTAAATTGAATTAGATAATTCTATAATTAAAAACGATAATAAAAAAAGATAATAAAAATACGATAATAATGATAATAATAACGATAATTATAATAATAACGATTATAATAATTATTATTATTATCGTTGTTATTATTATCGTTATTATTTTTATTGTTATATATATATTTTTAATATTTTAACACGTACTTTCAGGTGAAGTATGGTAAACCAACTGGGTCAATTGTATAACATGAGCATGATGCTTTTGTAAATCCTCTGTCAAATTACGAACTTCCGGAATTAAACGATCGTTGACGATACTATTCATGTGCTTTAAATCCTTTCGCAAATTTTCGGTAGTCATCGTCAATTCAGCAATTCTTTTACGCATTGCAAGATCATTATCAGATCTATCCACAAAATCCTTGGAATCCGCAAAAGGATTCAAGGTTGAATGGGATGGTGAATCTTTTATACTTCCAGATTTACTATTGACAGGGGATCCATAAACGGATGACGAAGATGTAGGCCCAGATTCTCCTTGATTCTGTGACATTGAAGATTCAGATAGACGTGGTTTCCTTCTTATAGTTTTTGATACTTTGCGACGTATATTTGGTAATAAATCTTGTCGACCACGTCTGAATTGTGAATGAGAAAATACGCAAGCGTGTTTACTACGGACATGTTTTGATTTGCGTGCATCTGATACTCGATAAAATCCATAGATCTGAAAAAAGAAAAGCCATTAGATTCATTAGATTCATTAGATTCATTAGATTCATTAGATTTTGGTTTCATAGAAAAAGAAATCAATAATAAAAAAATTGTAAGATATTATACATTAAGTTGTCGTACGAATGATGTGAATTTGCAATGTTTGAAAAATTTCGGCAAAACATTCTGTGCAAATTCATCCATATTGCAAATCACAAACACATCTCCCGTTTCGTTCCACGTAAGGTATTCTTTATATTCGTCACCATCAAGCAACCTAGAATATATAATAAGCAAAGTTAATATCGATCCTTGATAACATTAAAAATCAGATCAATTAAATCAACTAAAATAGTTTGGCTTCAAAAAGACAAGATATGAATAAGGACAAGTCGGAAATATTCTGCACGAAAGTTTATTTAGTCTTTATACAGTATTACCACTATAAAATACTTTAAGGTACTTTAAGGTACTTAAGATACCTTAAGTACTTTAGAGGGTTGAAAAGAAGAAAAAACTTACTGATATAACTTTGCTACGAACACCGATACTGTGTCGAGATCATACTTGCCCGTTTCTTCTTGAAAGAGAGGCTCCCCCTCTGGACAATTCGTTACATGTGAGGGATTTTCAGCAAAAACTTCATAAGATAACATCTCGTTTGATTGGGAAGGCATTATACTGGTCAAAGTATTACAAATGTGCTCATTCGCTGTCATGACAGATGGTTACAACGTGACCTTGTTGTTTCGTTCCAAGAGTTGTTGATATTTAGTAAACCTTTTTTTTTTTCGGTCTTTACAAGAAATATTGTGTAGGAGGTTATTTGGGAAGAACAACAGATCACAAAAGAAATAGTTTGAAAGAGAAGTGAGAGGTGGTGGCTGAGTAGGAATAAAGAAAGAGGTGTGAGTTTTGGAGAGCGTGTGGTAAGGTTGTAAGAGTGGTATGTGTGCGTGTATAAGAACGTGCGTAAGTTTGTGTTTTGTTCACAGAATTTTGTTTTTTTTTTTTTTATCTTTTTTTGAAATGATTCTTAACAAATAGGTAAAGTATGTAAACGAAACACACAGACCACCACAATTTGTACTTTGTTTATGCAGCAGCAAACAGAAGGCGGTTGCAAATGAAAGTGAAGTAAAGACAAGGCATAAAAAACCGGACGCTTTTATATATATATATAATTTTTATAGGACCTTAACGCTCCCCATTTATCACAAGGCGCGAATACAAAATTTTCGTTGCGTGCGCGAAGTCGTTGAGGAAGAGTTGTGTGTGTGTGTATTTTGAGCACGTTTGACCATAGAGGAGCTTTATGCTCGTACAAACCGGTGACCTTTTTTCGTTAAAGTGAAATTTTTAGTTTGGGGATGGAAACCGATGAGCGACGCACTACAGCACAGCACATTATAAAAGGTTTATTTAGAAATATGGCATTCTAATATTTATATATAATGTCAATAAAACCATGCACTTTTCAAACGGTAGAGTTATCACTATTGCAGTTATGTGTGACAGTTTTGTATTTTGGGAGTGGCAGTGTGGGGCAGAAAAAAAAACATTGCTAGATCACTTTCCGATTAAACGAAAAAAATTACTACGATTTTACGGTTACGGGTTGCGACGAGTTAACGAAGACCTCTGTTTGAACACTTTTTTTTTTTTGATTGTTTTTTTTTTCTTTCTTTTTCTTTTTTTTTTTTTTTTTTTTTTTTTTTTTTTTTTTTTTTTTTTTTTTTTTTTTTTTTTTATTTTTTTTTTTTTTTTT